GGGGGGGGGCCCGGAGAACCAGCGCGCGCCCCCCCGAGAAACCAATCGTCCAACCTTGAGGATTCGGGACGCGGTGGAAGATTCCACTCGAGCCCGACACTCTCGGCGGCCTGGGAAAGCATAGCCATCATTTCCGGGTTCGTCTCCGGCACCGCTGCCACCCTGATGGATCTTCATCCCCGGAAAAGTCCGGCTCACCCTCTGATGCTGCAACCGACATCCGATCGTCGGGGGGAGCCTCGGAAGAAACAGGTGGTACCCCCCGGGAGGGTCCAGCCTGCTCTTTTGAGAGCTCCGCTGGTTTCGCAGTACTGGCGGGTTTGGGCATCACCTGAGGGGAATTCCTCACCGTGACCGTAAGACCAGTCCGCCCACCGCTAGAAAAAGGACGCCCCCGGCTACCACCAGAGGGAGCCCCAGATCTAGGCAGTGGCATGGGCACTCCGCCCCCTTGCAGGTAACGGAGTCTGGTCCGAAACTCCGAGATGGTCATACCCCCGCAATGGGAGCATGAGTCATCCACGAAAGCCACCTCAGCGTGCTTCATGCCCAGGCACGAGAGGCAGCGATCGTGACCATCACCCGGCGCCAGGTAACAACCGCACCCAGAAACACACGGATGGTATGACATCTTTAAAAAGACACGTCTTTAAAAAGACGTTCCACCCGTGAAGCTCTTTTAGAATGGAAATTGCTCTTTTAGTGTGCTGAAGCGCACAGGGGAGATGGCCGTCTGCAACACACACAGTGGTAGTGCAACCTGTTGTGTGCAACCCACTCGACACCGGAAAACCACCGCTGAAGCGCCGTCCACCAGCACGAGAGCCCACCGAAGAGCGTGCTGTAGTTTTTCTCACTACTGTAGGAAGGTCAGGAGCAGAACAATAGAACCGCTCGGCTCCGAAGCGAAAAATCCTGAATATGCGCCTCATCTGCTGCCTACTTATACTCATGCAGTGATCAGCAGCAGCTGGATGCAATAATCGCATGACAATGTGCATTGGCTCGTTTAGTTTACACTCGAAGTAGATTGGTCCCTCTAAGCGAGATCCCAATTCGTCGGTCATCCGACGTGACGTCGAGAGTGACCGACTGAAAAGGAACATTTAACACTGGCTATTTTCTATGTGGTATCTGGGAAACGATCAAAATGAAATGTTATTTCTTAAGAAACTGGAGAGTAAACATATTCAGAGGCTCTGGCATAAGCACTTAAGGCTATTAACGGTCGGTGAGGGCTGCATGGGAGACACGTGGGATTCATGAAGATGGTTTCAATTGAATATCGCTTTATCCATCTTTGTCTCTGCGGCTTTCTTCTATGTGAGCTGCAGGGCACACTCGTATCATCTGAACTGGCCTCATTTCCAGAATTCAGAGTTCTTTTTCACACATTGTTCTTACAATCAGAAAGGATCTGTGGAGCCCAGCAGAGATTAAAAAGTGTTTTTAAGAATTCTTAATCTTCCTTGGAGACTTTCACATATATGTCTTAATCCACTGCATTCTGGGTACACTTTATTACATTAAAAAAATACATTTGTCCATGGGACCATCTGTTTGATCAAACAATGGAAGACATAGGTTGTGTTTGCGAAAGCTGTTTTAAAGCACAGTATTTTATGTATCTGGTTAATATATTGGCACAAAAATGATGCACTACATCTTTCCATTTCTGAATTTACTATTTGTTATTTATTATTAAAAACAGAATCTCTAGTGCATGATATCATGGCCAAAATTTATTGCAGCGTCTAAAGTAATTTCACATGCTCAAAGCCTACACTAAATATTTTCTTGGGAATATCACAGTCATGACCACTGGCTGAAACACTGTGTTTCTGTTAGCAATATGTCATATTTACAGATAAAGACCTGAGTTGTAAACTGACCTGTAAAATTGGTGGGACTTGACGTCTGATTCCACAGGATCAAAGTGCGAGCTGGGAACAGAAAAGAGAAGAAGAAAGAAAACATTTATTAATCTCATACATCGTCTTTTTCAGATTTTTGATTTGTGATTACTTTAAAGGGTTAGTTAACCCAAAAATGAAAATGAAAAATGAAAAGAATTCAAGAATACTTTTTGTGTGCAAAGAAAACAAAAATAACAACTTTATTCAACAATTTCTTCTCATTCGTGTAAGTCTTTGGTGCACGTTCATGACAGTACCACGCATGTGTGTGGTGCTGCTGATGCAGAAATCAGCGTAGAAACCAGATGCTTTGCTGCTTGTTTGTGATCAGTGGAATACACATGCATGCGTGGTACTATCATGAACATGCATCAAAATTGTTGAATAAGGTCATTATTTTTTTAAGCACAAAAAGTATTATCGTAGCTTTATAACATTACGGTTGAAACACTGATGTCACATGAACTATTTTAATGATGTCCTTACTACCTTACTGGGCCTTGAACGTGTCAGCTGTGTTGCTGTCTATGGAGGGTCAGAGAGCTCTAGGATTGTGTCAAAAATATCTTAATTTGTGTTCTGAAGATGAACGAAGGTCTTATGGGTTTGGAATGACACGAGGGTGAGTAATTAATGACAGAATTTTCATTTTTGGGTCAACTAGGCCTATTCCTTTAAATAAATTAATAAACAAATACATTAATTCTAAAAATGAAAATAAATTAAATAACATTTATTTTCACAGTAAAAATAGTGAAAAAGCTAAATAAATTATGTACAGTACGCATTACTTATCAATGTTTCCTGTGCAGAAATACGTGTATACTGCAGTGCTTCATACACATAATACAATCTCATACAGAACCTTCTCAATCAATAGGTTTAATGGCTTGAAACACCTTATATTGCTCAATGACTGGTTGATGATGACAATCCTTGCTGAAAGTGTGACACTTACAAATGCTCTCACATTCACTTGTTCTTTCATCTCAACGCAAGCTGCCATCAGATTTAATTTACAGCACATATTTCCGGGTTTCTTGCTGACAAAAGATCAAAGCCTGCAGATCATATCTATGTAAATATAACAAGGAAGACAAAATGTTGCTCTAGCAGACAAGGCTGTTTGTAAAATATAATATATTATATTAATAATATATTAATAATATAATATAATATAATATAATAATAGTCACACTCCTGCGGAG